CYTTYCYWWWAMTTCTAACCCTAGCAATTAATTTCATCCAAATTGGGCAGAAATATTATCAGAGGCAGAAAGTGCCACGAGTGTCACACAGCTGAGTAAGGAGAGACTTTCTGAGCGCTCATCCTGGATGGAATGGCACAGCAGAACCTGTCTGGTACCTGGGAATCCTCCACAGAGCACTGGTGGAGCCTGCTGTGCTCTCCCACCACATCCCTGCTCAGGATTTGGGATCTTTGGGTCACCAACCCTGCAACCTCTACATTGCACTGCCCAGAATGAGACCCCAAAGTGTGGAAGGGAGGTGGTGGAGGTGGGAGGTCAGGTGTGCAGTACCTGGTCCACTTTTGGAGCAGCCTGTGTCTTGGAGGATGTCGGGCTGGGGCAGGCGCTTTAGGTGCCGGGGAGGACGGGCTGATCCCATTTTTTGGGATGGTGTTTCCCTCCCCTGGCACAGGAGGGGAAGGAGAGCAGAACAGGCAGAGCAGCTGCCACAGAGATGTGTCAGCACAGATCCTCTTCCCCATCAAACACAGGAATGCCTGCAGCACAGTTGCCTCAAGGAAGCAGTTACAGCTGGATGGGATTGCCTGGGATTTTCTGTGTCTCTGAGGATCCCTGTGCAGCTGAAGTTGTGGCATTTCGCATTATAAAATGTAACAATGAGCACAAGATTTCTTTTCCCGCTCAGGCTGCCCGGGTATTGGGCTGGTTTCTCAGCCTCAGGTAGCTGCCTCTGCGAAGGTGAAGTGAATAACCCCTGGAAGTCTCTGTTTCTCCCTGTTTTCCATAAAAGAGAGCTCAGTTCAGTTGCAGATGTTCATCAAAGCCTTGGCAAGAAGGATCCTGTGGTGTGAAGGCCTTGAGTAGGACCGAGATGTGCCTTGTAATCTGAACACACTTTAGAAAGTTACTCAGTTTTTTTTTTTTTTGTAGCTCAGTGAAAAGAACTGTAATTTTGTCTGACACTTGAGATTGCTCTTTCTGTTATTTGTGTTTCTTTATGCTTCTCCAGTCAGCACTACAGATCACCTCTGCAAAAGGGTTGGCCTTTTTAGATATCTGTTAAAAATTGCAGTGCCCCAGGGCAGACAGGGAGACCTTGCTGCAGATCCTGAGAGTGCCCTGCCCACAGAAAGGTCCTCACAGCAGGGCAGCAAAGAGTGTTGTGCCAGTGTCAGACCTCCCACCTTGCAACGAGTATGTCCAGTTGATTTTAAACCCATCCTGGGCTGACCAAGTTGATTTTAAACCCATCCAGGATGGAGGAAATGTGGGAGAAAGGACTCTGCACAGGTTATGCTGATGGATAATCCCAGAAAAGCAAATGGTGGTTGCACTCCCCTGAGAAAAGGAGCCATTCTACAGAAGAGGAATAGGTGTCCTAAAACTGCAGTGAGGCCTGGGGGAGCCAGGAGCTGGTGCCTGATGGAGTACCCCTTTTTCTTTCCTTTCCAGTGGCAAAATGTGAGTACTTCAAYGCCGGGGGCAGCATCAAAGATCGCATCAGCCTCAGGATGGTGGAGGATGCGGAGAGAGCCGGGATTATCAAACCAGGAGACACCCTGATTGAACCCACTTCAGGGAACACAGGTGGGAAGGCAGGGATGCATTTCTGAGGAGCAGGGATTTGAGGAGCTCTTGTATTTGTAGTTACAAAATCGGTTCTGGCTGCATCCTCCCCTCAGCTTCTCTCCTGGTGGCCAAGGGTATCCGGGGATGCTGAGGTGCCTCATTGCTGAAATTCCCGGGGGTCTGAAAGGGTCCCACACCTTCACAGGCGTGCCTGGAAGGTCCCCTTTTGGCAAGGCAGGCAGTATCAGGAGCTTTTGAATTCCCAGAGATCCCCAGAGACAATTTCTCTGATGGGCTGGAAGAGAAATCATGGGATTTTGTTTCCTCATCACTGTCCCATATGGTGGGGTACAAGATGAGGGGGCACAACACAGGAGACTCCCCCCCTATTTTGCAGCCTCCACAGGACCCTTGGTGCAAATTCCAACGTTCCTTTGCTGCTCTGTGCCCCAAAACAACAACCTGTGTTTGCACAGAGTGATTTCCTACAGAAAGGCACCTCAAGGTGCTCTGGATGGAGTTGAGGCCGTGTTCCTCGCTGTGCTCCCTGCCTCCCCCTCACCACCCATGCAGAACAGGGTTCATCTCTAGGAATTGTGCTCCTCACTGGCCCATTGTCTCAGGCAGCCCCAGAACCAACCCCCTCTTGCCCCAGCCACCCCCAGACATGGAGTAAGGGGATCTGTGCTCCCCCAGAGCTGTTCCCCAGGTGGATCACGCTGTTCCCTGTGCCCAGGGCAGCTGGGATGGCACCAGGCTCCCTCCAGCCCCAGGCAGGGACAGGCAGCTCCAGCCTCACCTTCCTGCCATAGCTGGGAGCAGCTGGCTCCATCCATCACCCCAGTGAAACCGGAGCAGTGGTGCCCTTCACCTTCTGGCCACGGGTGACATGTGCAGCGTCCTGTGTGTCCGTCCCCCCACAACAGACAGTGCTTGAGGGGCAGGGAAAGGCGCTCCTGAAGTAAAATCACCTCTCTCCTGTGTTTCCAAGAGCACAGGAAGAGCCCTGTGCCTCGGTGGAGGAGAGAAAAGCTCTCCCCAGCCCTGCCATTCTCTCTGTGCCACGCTGGTGGACTCCTGTGAGCAAGAGGGGATGCTGCAGCTCCACTTTCCTGTTAGCACAGCCTCCCACACTTCCTGGAGCTCCCAGCATATCCCAGGAAGCTCGTGGAGGATGCCTTCACCTGTAGTTTCTCAGTGAACATTCCATGGTTGCTTTCAGGAGAGAGGGATGCAGAAAGTGATGCATGTCAGTCACTTCTGCCAAAAACTGCTTTCAACCAATTCCCTTTGCTCCCCATCACGCAGGGATCGGGCTGGCTCTGGTGGCTGCACTGAAGGGTTATCGCTGCATCATCGTCCTGCCAGAGAAAATGAGCATGGAGAAGGTCAGAGCTCTGAATGGTATCACCCCACAGCCAAGGGACATCTCCTTCCCTCTCTCCCTCTGCCTCTCCCTTCCTGGAGCCCTCTCCTTTAAAGGCCATCGAGCCTTGTACACACACTGCCACAGCTGCTGCTCAGAAAGTTGCCTCTTGAAGGGAGAAAAGCAGCCTGTGATGGCTGTGATGGTGACTGTCTGGTGTCAGAAGTGCAGATGGGGTGACAGGACAGCCAAACACAGTGTGTGGCTGCAGAGAAATGGAGAAGGAGCTGCTGCCTGTGAGGCAAGGGCTGGAGGGACAGAAGGAGAGGCAGGCAGGTGCCAGGACTCTCCTGCCAGCCCTGCTCACTTCCCCTCTGACATCTGACAGATCACTTGGCCTCACTGTGTATTTATGGTTTTATTTAACCTGGAGACACTTAGAATAGCCTGAGCTGCTTTCTCAAGGTGCTGGAAGTCAATTCACTTGCCTGAGAGCTGATGATCAGGTAAACCCTCCATCCTGGAGATGGCAGAAATCCTTCCTTGGTGAGCCAAGAGCCCTCCAGACTGCTCAGCTGAATTCATACCAGTGAAGCCACACCTGGACTCTAACCTGGCTCAGGAATGAGCCCTTCTCTAAAGTGTCACCCTCATTTCAACCTAAATCTCACTTAAGCTCGGTCTGGATCAGATGCCACCTCCAGCTGCCATGGGGTTCATCTCCAGGTGCCCTGACACTCCCCCTCTCCCCATGACAGCCACACCTCCCAGAGGAGACACCCAAGGGCTGATTTGCTTCTTCTTTGAGCTTGATGAGAGAAGAGAAGGGACTTAGGGCAAAACCAGCTTTTTGATCTCCCCTTGTCACATTGGAACTCAGACCCCAGCACAAAAGAGACACTGCTCCTTGTCCAGCCCCCTCTGCCTTTTTCCCCTGGCAGCAAGGAACAGCACAGTGTCACCTCCCTCCACCCTGTCCCCAGCCTGCCCTCCAAGTAGGACAGGGCACGAGGCCAGGCTTAAATCCCTGTGCCAGGCTCAGGCAGGAGGCCCTGGGTGCCAGGAGCATGTCAGAGATAGCACAGCCCAGAATTGGACATTGTATCTCCAAATGATAAATGTGTCCCGAGTGCAAAGCTCCTCTGGCATCTGGCGCTGCCCTGAGCCCGCAGGTTTGGGTTACCATCCCTACGTGGGCTCAGTTGTGTTGAATCTCCTCTTTTCCCTCCCAAAGGTCGATATTCTGAAAGCACTGGGTGTTGAAATTGTGAGGACCCCATGCACCCGCTTTGATGCCCCCGAGTCCAACATTCGTGTTGCCTGGAAGCTGAAAAGTGAAATCCCAAACTCTCACATCCTGGACCAGGTAAACACCGTCCCTCCACCAGCTCTTTCCAAAGGGAGTTTATAGGATGTTCTCCAAGTGTGCCTGTGTTTGGGGSCTTCATTCAAACTGGCACCAGAGGMAGATYTAGTCAGTGTTTTATGGCATTTGAAACTTAATCACCCCTCTGCAAAGCACAGGGGGCAGAAACAAATTAAGGGGACACTTCCAAACCTGCATCTCTTCTGCCAAATCCTCAGTGTGGGCGAGGCTGGGTTTTCTTGCACAATTCAAAGACTCCTCAAATTGCTTCAGATTTAACTTTGACCTGAAAAAGCCCCCACTTTTTAAGCCTAGCTAGCAGCCTCTGTTCTACCTCAAAAATAAACCTCATGCTGTAAAGGGCAAAGCCTGGTGACTCACGCCAGAGGTTCCTGCAGGAGGAAGGACAGGAGGGCACTCGGTCTGACCCCCATGTAGGGAGCCCCTGGAGTGCAGGAAAGTCAGAGAAGCTCTTTCCTTCTAAGAATATAAGAGCTCAGAGACTGAATAAGCTTTTCACAAGCAGCCTGGTCCATGGGTGTGAACGTGGGGTGCACAAATATCAGAGATGCAAAATCCCTCTTTGTATGGGAGCTGATGATCAGGAAGCTTCTCCAGCCCACAGTTCCCAGCCTCTGAACCATCCCCACACCTCATGGGCACCAAGTGCTGGACAGTGAGCGTTTGTGGGCACATTTAACCTTCCAGTGTGGAAAAACTCCAAGTGTGCTTGGGAATCTGTCCCAAAGGGACAAGCAGGAGGAATACCTGTGACCTGTTGTGGCAGGGTGGCAGTCCCCGCCTCGGCAGCGAGAGGAGGGGGCAGCTGCATGCTCTGGGCACAGCTCTGTCAGGAGCTATTGCTGGTTTGGTATTTGACCTACTCTTCACACGGTAACTCCCGCTGTTCTCTGTTGGAATAAACAGTACCGAAATCCGAGCAACCCCCTGGCTCATTACGACACCACGGCTGAGGAGATCCTGGAGCAGTGTGAAGGTACCGTCTGTGCTGTTGCTCCTACGTGCAGAGGGCTATAACCCTCTCTGAGAGKCTTAATTTACATCATTTATTGACCTGAATGTCTAGAAACAGCCCAGAGGGCCTCTGTAGGGACAGGCAGTATTATCTTAATAACACTGACACGCAGGGTGTAGCAACCTCTCCTAATCCACTCCAGATACACCTCAGCCTGCAGGGCTTCCCGGCTGTCCCCTCCCATTGCAAAAGCCCGGGGGAGGAGACCAGAGGCTTAAAAAATTCAGGCTGTACCTAAAGGAGAAGGATCATCCCTCTTGGTGGCCACAACATCTCTGTGACTTGCCAGCTGGGAACACAAGGTGTCCCACACGACCTCATGGGGAATATGAATCCATCAGGGCATGGCAGGCTGTGTCTGATCCAGCACACTCATCTGCAAACTAAATCAGACTGAAACCTCACAAACTGGTGACATTGGAAGTGAGGGCTGGGGGAGAATAAAGGACTATCCCAGCCTGTATCTGTGCAGATAGAAGGGAAATTCACTGCCAGTTCTGGAAGCACTGTGAAATGCGAGCAGGACTCGAGGGTTTTAACTGGAGAGCATTATCAGAGCAGTAAAGCAGTCAGGTACCAACAGGAACAGGAGAGTCCCAGCTTTCCCTGCACTACAGTGTCAGGATTTGCTCCAGCTGGCTGCCAGCCGTGGATTGCAGGTCCCCCTTTCCCAATGTGGTTGCAACACCAGGTTTTGAAGGCCAGACTCTGATTCTGCGCTTTCCAGTCCTAAATCTGTATAATTTCAGCAATGCCAGTGAGGGCTRCATCTAACACAGGCAGGTGCCAGGRCAGACCTCAGCCTTCCCTTCACTGGGGATGCCAACACACGCTGAAATGTTGTCCCTGTTAGTGACATTCTCGTGTGTGATTTGCTTTGACCTGGTGTGGTTGGAAAGGGCTAAATGTGCTAAGATATTCCCTTCCTCTTAAGCAGAATCACAGAATATCCTGAGCTGGAGGGGACCCACAAGGATCATCAAAGTCCAACTTCTGGTCCTGCAAAGGACACCCAAAATGTCACACCATGTGTCTGAGTGTTGTCCAAACACTCATTGAGCTCTGTCAGCCTTGGAGCTGTGAGCATTCCCTGGGGAGCCTGTTCAGTGCCCAGCCACCCTCTGGGTGAAGAACCTTTTSCTGATATCCAATCTATACTTCAATTTCATACTGTTCCCTCTGCTCAGTAGATGCCAAAGGTGCAGAAATCATGGAGATCCGGAGGTCACCTTCAGCTCCCTGTGCTGAGGCAGSATCAGCTGTGCTCAGGTCCTGCAGGCTCACCCAAGCTTCTCCACAGGACCAGGCTTTGGCTACCAACAAAGTGGTAGCCAAAGTGGCCCCTGCCTGACCTTTCCTCGCGCAGGGTTCTGGTGGACACGGGCTCTGCATCTGCACAGGGGCCTGAAAAAGGGGGGGATCAGGCTGGGAGCTGTGCTGAGTCCGTGCAAGCCTCTCTCTTCCCTGTCCTGCAGGGAAGGTGCACATGGTGGTGATTGGGTCTGGCACAGGAGGCACCATCACTGGTGTGGCCAGGAAGCTGAAGGAGAAGTGCCCGGAGTGCAAGGTAAGGCGGGAGGCAGAACTGACGAGCTTTTCATGGAATCACAGGGTGGTTTGGGTTGGAAGGGACMTTAAGGGTCATTCCATTCCACCCTCCTGCCATGASCAGGGACAYCTTCCACTAGAACAGGTGGCTCAGAGCCCCATCCACCCCTGAACACTCTGAGGGATGGGAAGTCCACAAATTCTCTGGGCAACCTRTGCCAGTSCTTCAGCATCCTCACAGGAAAGCATTTCTTCTAATATCAAATCTAAACCTACCCTCTTTCAGCTCAAAGCCATTCCTCCTTGYCCTGTCRCTGCATGCCATTTCCTGCCTAACCCCACAGCTCACCTGAGGGAGCAGTTGGTGTCTTCAACTATTTTATTTCWCACAGCAATTTTGGCTTTTGTTGGGAGCAGTTTGGTGATGCTTACATTGACCCAGACCCATCCAAGTGCCTTAGAGACCAAARTTTCCCCAGTTCCACTAAAATCTCCCCCTGCCTGGTGCCTTGCCCTGTGCAGGACACTCTGGTGGGCACAGACAGCAAATGCTTCTCCTCCTGCAAAACCCTTTGTGCTTTAGGGTTGACATCAGCCATGATACTCATCCCACAGAGCTCATGCTTTAAGGCAGAGTGGAGGTTTGACAGTCGTGGCCTCTCTGGCCTGGTCAGTGTGTGAGTGATCCCTGATCAGTGTGTGAGTGATCCCTGATCAGTGTGTGAGTGATCCCTGATCAGTGTGTGAGTGATCCCTGGTCAGTGTGTGAGTGATCCCTGGTCCACCAGAGAGGTGTGGACCCTCCACTGAAGGACTGGGATTTGTGAGGTTGCCTCCCTGAGCGTGTGCAGCTGGTGTGGAGCAGTGTCACCCTCCCTTCTTCAGCTGCGTGCTCAGGGAGGCAACCTCAGCCCAGACACAAAGCTGTCAATAACCAGGGAGGTGCCACCATCAGCCAGCACAACTAAATCCTGAAAGGATGTTTTTATCCACAGGTTTCCACAGGCTGGAGTTCCCTGGCTGGCTTCAGTCTCGGGCAGATTAAGGAGCACTGGCACTGTCGTAAGGGTTGGGTTTGGGACGTGGTAGGCACTGCCAAAGGGGTGATGACAAACACCTTGAGAGTGATTATATTTTAAGCCACCAGTCACTTCTGCAACAGCTGAAGACTACCTAGGATCTATTTAAAAAGACAGTGAAAAACAGCACCCTTTTATCCTGGAAGCTCTCCATGCTGCCAGTGGTTAGGAATATTAATGAATGTTAYGGGAAGGGAAATGTTGCTGACAAGGACGTGGGTAACTCTTCCTTTGAGTTTTGTGTTTGGCTGCTTCTGAATCCCCATTTTGGTTTGACAAAATGTTCTTTTTCTCAAAGATCATTGGCGTGGACCCTGATGGCTCCATTGTTGCTCTGCCCAGCGAGATGAACAAGACTAACACCACAACCATYGAGGTGGAGGGAATTGGGCACGACTTCATCCCTACTGTCCTTGACAGATCAGTGAGTAAAAATGTGGTGAGAGGCCTCTGCCTGATCTCTGGCTTTGCAYCCAGCCTGCTCCCAAGCCCAGAGCTGTGCTGGTCCTGACCTATCTTCCTAGTGCAGAACAAGATGTTGTGGGGCATTGGGACCCCAGCACTGGAGCATCTCTCTGAGTAACTCTGATTATAGCTGACCCACAAGGAGAAGGTGGACAGAGGAGAAAAGCAGGCATATAACACAGAGTTAGCCTTCTCTGCTCAGCCTCACCAATCCTCAAAGCATTCCCTTCTCGCTGTGATCACACAGATGTCTGTGCTGAGGCTGATCCTCATCACGCTGCTGTTTCCTGAGYCTTCTCTGCCTCAGGCACCACACACAGAGAGCAGAAATCCTGCACCATGTCCAGGCTGGAAGACAAGATCCAAGCCCTGTAAGACAGCAGATCATGAGCCTTGTACCTCTCTTTGTCAAGTTTCCTCTCAGTGTACCAGCTAACACCARGCACAGGGCTTTAAATCCCTGACACAGGCTGCCTGCATTCCCCTGGCCTCATTCTAGAAAGGTCCCTCACAGCCTCAGACCCCAGATTCTTTCTGCTTCCAGGTGTGTGTTAACTACATCCCTGCTGTCAGCACATGGCTTGAGAGATGTCACCTGTAATAAGCCAGACTGATTCTTGTAGCTGGATCTCATTTTAGCAAAATCTCAACCTTGCTTAAGTAGTCTGGCCTGAGACATCATAAACACTACTYCCTCTTCCACATCCTGCCTCTGGACCTGTCAGGCATCTCTAACTGTGCAAGGAAAGGGTGCTGGCTGGAAAGGTGTCCGCGAGTAAGAACACATCTTCCAGACCATGGATGCACTGACAAATGCTTTCAACAAGTGTAGAAGGAAACTCAGAGCTGCCAGATACTGAGGSAATCAGCCCCATGATGTGCCTCAGAGGGCCAGGGCAGCCTGAAAGGACATTCCAACACTCAGCTTTTCTGCTTYCCTTTCAGGTGGTCGATCAGTGGTACAAAAGCAACGACAGAGACTCATTCCTCATGTCCCGCAGGCTGATCAGGGAGGAGGGGTTGTTGTGTGGTAAGCACCAACCACAACAGTTTCTTCTCTCAACAAACCTTCTGAACCTCATTCTTTTGGGACCAAAATGTTCCAGGGTAGGTGCTCTCTGCATTTCGTGTCTGCTGGGTCAGCAGGGTTGAAAAGCTGAGCCCTGACCGCATAGGTCACTGCAGACTTCAGAGGTGTGTCCCTGCCTCTGGCCTGGGCTCTGACTCATTKGCCACAGTAATTATAGAAGCAATAATTCTCCTCTTACTGGAGCACTGTTGCAATGGAACTGGATCTTCAGGCAGGGTAGAGTTACACAGGCTGAAGGGAGGATTAGTGGGGCTCAGGGCAGGACAGGTGGGCTCTGCTCACAGCTCTGCGAGGCCGTGCTCCGTGTCACTGCCACACCAGAGGTGCCAGGTTTGGAGCAGGAGGGTTTGAAAGCAAAGAAAGTGTGAGATGTTCTTACTGAGTATTTCTCCCTGTGCCAACAAGCTATAACTGATCCCACTGCCTTCCCAAAATGAGCAGCTGCCCTCAGACAAACCCTGCCTGTACCCTAAGAGCCTCCACAGAGTGGTTTCAGCCTTCCCTGACACCGAGCAGACAGACATGGGTCTGCATCCAGCACCAGACACTACGTAGGCTTGTAGTTACAGCTGATAAAAGCCCTGAGCACCCATATCCAGGGAGTTTTGGATAAGATCAGGCTGTATATATRTAATGAAACACTTAAATGTTGACTTAACCTAGCAGGCACGGAGTCACTGTGTTTCAACAGAAACCACTTGTTTGAACTCAACTATAATTTGTGAACAGCCTCATGTTCCCTGAACTGCATTTTTCAGGGCCGTTCCTCGTTTGTTTGAAAAATGTGACTGAGGGATAATTAACCTGCTGTAAAATACGTGCTGCCCTGAATGCAGTGTGTAATTGGCACACAGATAGTGGAATGTGTTTGACTTCCAGTGCTCAGACTASTGGTGGAAGAATTGCCTCTGTGAAGCAGGGAGCTGCTTTCCCTACGTGCAGCAAACCACATGCGTGCACGCAGACACGGGGAGCGTTTYGCTCTTCCCATCACGTTGGCCTGGTATTCCAAGCATGAATGTAATGTTTATGGTTTTTTCAGTCCCTACAGTGCATTTAAAGCCAGTCTTTGGCTGCCAAGTATGTCAGCCAGAAGCTCTAGGACTGGCATGGTCCTCTGCTCACGCAAAGGGAGYGTTGTGAATGTCCCTGTGTGGAACATTTCAGCCCTTGGTCTGCCCACAGAGCCACCACAAGACGTGAGCCATGAGGTTCATGAGGTGACTCTTATGCTGCCTCAAAAGCCCAAGAGCCACCATATGAACACACCCCATCAATCCCTACCTCTGCCTGACCCTAAAGCCTATACGGGTTCGGGATTGATTGTCCTCCCACGCCAGCATCTCAAGCCACCATTCTGTGAGGTGTCCCCTCTGCACTATTGGGACAGCCTGTGCCCCCCACACCAGGACAGTGGCCCTGCACCCTGGGCAGCCCTGACACTTGTGTCCCTCTCTGTGGTGTCCATCCAGGTGGCAGCTCAGGCAGTGCCATGTCCGTGGCCGTGAGAGCTGCCAAGGATTTGAAGGAAGGTCAGCGCTGCGTCGTCATCCTGCCCGACTCCGTCAGGAACTACATGTGAGTTCCCTGCTTCCTCCTCCCCTGCTTYCCAGCATCAGGGTGGGAGCTCCCACAGCCTTCTGTGACATGAGTTGAACCCAGGTGCTTGGGGTTCTGGAGAACCACCCCAATAAATCTGACAGCAGACACAGAGAGTGAGCCCAGAGCTGGGAGTCTCCCTGGGGCAGATCACAGGAAAAAAGCAAAATAAACAACACATCAGGGAGAAACAACACATCACCATGGCAATCAGCAGGGAATGGGCATTGGGACACTTGGGGTTTATTTCCTCTTGTCACTGAGCAGGAGCACGGAGCAGGAGTCAGCCAAGCCACACTTTCTGAACTTGCATGCCTAAAGTTAGGAAGGCAAATAGCTGGCGTGCTTCGAAGAGTTACTGAGCACCCGATGCTCCTGTTGACCTTAAAAGGGGCTGAGAGTAGCCAGCTGCAAAAATCATGGGAGCCCCGGGGGCAGTGCTGTGGTCTGGGGCATGAAACAAAGCACAGCTTCTTCTGGAAGCCTCACAGACTCGCTCTTTGTTGGTGATTTCTAGGTCCAAGTTTGTGAATGATAAGTGGATGATAAAAAATGGGTTCCTAAATGACGTCCAGGAGCACAAGCCTTGGTAAGACAATTTYTGCTGGGATAAACGGTGCTAAGGGAATCAGCTCTCTGAGTCTGGAAATCATTATCTTCAAAGGGAAGTATTCTCTTTCAGTGTTTAGAAAAACCACAGTCAAGTCCAGACCCCTCTGGGGAGGCTGCAATGTCAGCTCCTCTCTTTTGTGTGGTTATCTCCCAGTTCTCCAATCCAAGTCTACAAAGGAGCCATTTCTATCCCAAAGAAGCCGATCCACTCYCACATGGCAATCATTGCCCTGGCCACCTAAACCCTCTCAAAACCTCTCTCTGCTCCACTGCTGGTGTTCAAAGGATCATCAGGCTGCTGGGGAGGTGTTCCCTGATGTAGCAAGCCCCMTTTCGAACAGCTCTGCAAGTCTTTTCAGGCAGGGGACAGGAAATTGTCACCTTCCAGAGCTGCTGGCCAGAAAAGACAGCCAACTCTGCTGTCCCTTAAGGGGAAAGAGTCCCCTCAAGGCAGGGAGTCACAGGMAAAGTGCTGATGCCAGTTGATGTGTAGCTGGGCAAATGCCAGTTGTTTAGAAAAGCTCTTGGTTTTACYTCAAAGACAGCAGATATTATTGATGTCCCCTGGTCCTTTGGGTTTCTATAAAACCAAAGGTAATTGCAAAATATTTCCTGAAAACTGAAKACATTTCCAAGGCCTCCTGTGTCTGGTTAGAGTTGCTCTTGGCTCTTCCAGGCTCTAGYATTTCCCTGCCTCTTCTGCAAGGACAAAGGTCTGAGTGGCTTKGGAGGTGTTTGTGTTCCCCCACAAACAAGCCCAGCTTGTCCCTACTAAATCACACRAGCATCTCTGCCAGGCTCTGTCCTGCAGGAGCTGCAAATCTGCATTTTGAGGACCAAGGATACAGACCAAAGGAGTAAAACTGGTAGGTCCCCCACTTTTGAGCTTGAAGTGAAGCCCTCAGCAGCTTCCTTGGATTCAGGACAGCTCAGCACCTTGTCAGCTGCTGGTGTCAGCCCTGCCTCTGGAGATGCATGAAACTGGGTGTAGGGAAAGCTTGGCTTCAACAAGACCTGGCCACAGTGGCATTTCTGCTTTGGATGTAGGAGCAGGGCTGGCTTTTCAGGCAGACAGAATAYCCCTCATCTCCTCTGCCTTGCCCCCCTGCTCAAGGCCACAGCTGTGCAGCAGAGTCGCAGCTCAGCGCTGCCATTTGTCTTTCAACAGGTGGTGGAACATCAAGGTGCAGAAACTGAATCTCTCGGCCCCTCTCATTCTCCTCCCTGAAGTCAGCTGTCAAAAGGCAGTTGAGATCCTCCAGGAGAAGGGATATGACCAAGCTCCTGTTGTTGCTGAGTCAGGGTAACTATTTTTGCTCACTACACAGAAGGCTGTTCACGCAGACAAATCAGCCGTGATGAAGCTGAAGTCCCATTTACTGATTCARAGCTGGGTTCTTGTGTTGGACTCTGATGCTTATTTTTAATAAGATCATCTGCCTCCTTGTGATGATTAATCTATAAAAYTCCTGTAAATGAGCCTGTCAAAGCCCAATCCAGTGCCCACCAAACCCAGCAGATGCTGGATCAGTGCACAGGCAAGGGGAGCCCACAGAAGTGGTGAGGGCTGGGGGGAAACCCATACAAATAAGCAACTGGAGAGTCTACAAGTTTTCCTTCTCCCAGCTGCTGASTCCTGGACTGAAATAGCAGATTTTAACTACTGTGAAACCAAACAGCTTAGTGAGGACAAAGACTTTCTTGTCCTGCTCAAGTGAGGAAAAACCTGGTGCCTCTCACTGASTGCTGCAACAATTTAATCACTGACTTCAACCAGAGCAAGTTCAGCCTCTACATAAAACGTGTGTCCTACCTCAGGTCCAACCTTCTGGAAATGTTCCTGTTCCCTTACAGGCTTATTTTGGGAATGGTGACCCTCAGCAACACGCTGACTTCCGTGCTGGCCGGAAACGCAGAGTTCTCAGACCCTGTCACAAAGGTCACCTACGACCAGTTCTCAAAGGTACCACTGAGGCTGGGCTGGTGTCAGCCTCTGTCCAGGGACAGCTGGGGAGGGTGATGGTGACATCTTGGAGAGGAGAGCAAGAACAAGCACCTGTAAAAACTCTGCTGAGACACCAGGTTCAGATATGGAGCTCTCAAACCAGGAGCCAAGCACTGGCAGGGAGTTTCATCCATCTGGGGAATTAGCACCTTCCACAATCAGAGCCCAGCCATTGCCAGGTGAAGTAAAACGTTCAGTGTCTCTTTTTGTGCTGTTTAGATCGGCCTGGAGGACAGCCTGGGGAAGCTTTCCTGCATCCTGGAGAACGACCACTTCGCTATCGTAGTACACGAGCAAATGCAGTGTAGGTACCTGCAGAAACTCCAAGGGCTTGGCACAAATRTTGGGAGGGGAAAGGGACATTCTCCAGCTGAGTGTGGCATGTGTCAGTGCAGCTGCTCCAGTTGTGCAGCCCCAGAGCCTCTGCAGGAAGGATTTCTGCCCCGTGGCTCTGCAAAGCCCCTGAGCTGCCCCCTGTTCACCCATCTTTTCCTGGCACCACAGGGAGGAGGGCAGAGGGGCAAAGCAAGCAAGGAGGAAATAGGGGATCTCTGTAGACTTCTGCATCCCAAGGGCAAGGTCAAAAGGAGCATTTTGCCACATTAGGTAAAGCCTGGGTGGAATTCAGGCATGCAAGTCGAGAAAGCTGGGAAAAAATGGATCAGGCCATGAGCAAACCCTGTGTCTTGGGGCATCAGGGGACACTGATGTGTAACCTGGGGCAGCTGTGCCAGTCTGACATGGACCATGGCTGGGTACAGGGATGCTCTGCCAGTTCAGGAGCTCCATCAGACTAGTCCAGTAAAGCAGSTTTGGTTTATTCTCAATCCACTGCTCAGTAGAATCACCTCCAGCAGCACCACAGCAGCATCAGGCAGGGGTCAATGGCAGCAGGGATCACCCCTTGTTGCTYCTCTGACCCAAAAAAGGTGTGGTGGCAGGTGCTGCCCAGCAAATCTGACCTGACACACCTTTCCAGTCCAATTACACCGTGAAGAGTCCCAGAAATACAAATTTGACCTTATCTCAAGAGAGTTGCTTTGTTGGGAAAAGTGAGCAACAGCAACATGAAGAAGCAGACAGCAGACCCATGTTTAGGTTTTGTGAATGAGAGCTGAAGGGTGTAATTATGCTGATTTGATGGGATTACACACTGAGAATGCAAAACATCCCCAGGTGAGCAATGGGTGACAGTGCTGGCAAACGGCAGCTCGGGGCCTCCAAAACCCACCATGCCCTAATATCCCAAACCTTCTGTCTCCAAGGCCTACTTCCCCAGAGCCCCATCAGCTCTGAAGCTTGCAAGTTAATCCATGTTCCCACAATAGGCTGCAAACAAAAACCTGCCACTCAAAACTGCCTTTGATTTGCATTTCCATTTCAGTCACCAAAATTAATGCCAGGCAGAATTTCCTTTCTCAGCTGTGTCSTCATAAAATAAGGAATATCTTCTTTTTATCATGTTTTGATATAAATTAGATGGTATCAGCAATTAAATGGCAAAAAAATATCAGCCAGCTGTATGCAGCCCCTCTTGCTCTGGTTTTCAAACAACACCCACTTTCTTCTCCAGAGCTGCTGGTTTAATGCTGTCACAGTTACCCCTCTTATTTATTGCTTTCTCCCCACACCTTCAGAGCTTGCATTTTATCTTGTGTTTGGACTCTGGTGGCTAGTTTTATTTTTATTTAAGAAAACATTTATCAGACAGTTAAAGCAATTTCTGAAGTGCTGTTTCATTAGCGGTGGTGTAGGATGTTATGAGAACAGAGTGGGAAAGTGCCTCCCTGCTGCTTTTAGAGAGTCTCATTAGCTGGCCCTGAAAAGTTTTGTGGTGATAGAAGCAGGACTCAAACAGAGGTTGGGTAAAAACAACTGGGAAATAAAGTTTCCTGCTCTTGCAGCAAAAACTTCTCAGGTGTGATCACAGTAACCTGACTGAGGCTCCATCAGTCATTTCTGTGGGCAGAGCTCAGACAGATTCTGTCCCTGTTAAGGCTTTCTTTTAATAAATGAACATCAGCCTCTGCACAGCTGGAAGGTGGTGGGGGTGGTGAGGTTGGGGTGTYTTGGAGTTTTTTTTCCCCACTAAGCTGGAATTTTCTGTGCTTCCAGTCAATGGAAATGGCAGCTCCTTCATGAAGGAGATGGTGTTTGGTGTGGTCACAGCCATGGACCTCCTCACCTTTGTCAGCAGGAATGACAAGAAGTAGCAGAGCAGCTCAGCTGCCCACACCTCCTCCAGCAGGTCCAGGTGTGCCCCTGAGCCCAAACCAGGAGCCTCTGGCCCCACCCAGCCAACAGTTCCTCAAAATGCCTCGGTGAAAATAGTAATGTATTGTATTTGTCTGCCAAATGCCACCCACTGAAATGTCACTAAAGAGGAGATAACTACAGAAATTGTGTTTAATAGCTGTGTGTGGTTACATAGGGCTGGGCAGGGAATGTGGGCAGGTGAGGATGGGCAGGGGGTGTTTTTTTCTGCACAAATTTCAGCAGCAGGAGGTTTGGGGTGTCTGGGCAGGGATTGTGGGCAGGTGAGGATGGGCAGGGGGTGTTTTTTTCTGCACAAATTTCAGCAGGAGGAGGTTTGGGGTGTCTGCCAGCTGCAGGTACCTGTGCACTGCCTGTGTTGCAGCTGCTGAGAGCTGTCCTGTCCCTCTGGGCCAGAGAGGAGGAGGGCTGGGGGCGAGTCTGTGCCCTTCTGTCCCTCTCCATCCCTCTCCACCCACCACAGGGAGGGCTGCAGGCACCCCCAGTAGCCATTCCCCCCCATTCCTGGGCCTGTTTGGATCCAAGGAGGCAGCGGGAGAGGCAGGGACAYGGAGGTGTCACAAGGAGGGAGGAGCTGGTGAGACACAGAGCCCAGAATGTGAAAGATGTCAGCAGGAAGGGTGGGAARGAAAAGCCAAGGGCTGTGAGGAGCAGAGGGGATGAGATGCTGGTGAATGATCACCTCTGTGGTGGCAGCTTTGGAAAGCACCTTCCTCACCTCTGGGGGAGGTGGTGGCACTGGGTGCCTCATGCATGGTCCCATGAGAGGGGACAGTGAAGGAAACCCACACGAGAAGCAAAAACTCATTCACGGAGCAGGAACTGGGAGAGGGATATGGCTTCATCCCCGAATATGTATCCTGAGAATTCCTTATCAAGGGGTGGGGGGGAAGGCAAGGTTTGGTCCTAATTTTTTGGTCAGGCTGATGTGGTCCATGAACTGATAACGAAGGACAGAAGAGCCATTTGCCATGGATGCCAAAAACATAAATGAAAAAAATGTCAACAGTGAGCTGTGGGACCAAAATGAAGTGCCATTGAAACGCAGGTTTGGGGGAGCTGCTCTCAAAAGACCCAGAGAAGTTTCCAATCTTTCTGTAAGCTTCAGGACCTGCTCCAAGAGGGCAACAAAAATTTCAATTTCAGCTTGCTGCTAAGTGGCTACTCCATATTCTCAATCGAATCTATTTTGTACAAGATTTTTATTAAGTTACAGAATGCTGAAGTRTTTATATTTAGGAAAAGTGTCTCTGTTGTCATTTCCTGAGTGATACGAGCAATTATCAGATTTTCATAGAGCTTTTGCTTCAGCAATAACCATACTTGTCCAGAAAACCAAAAACTGATTAGCTCAAACCTCATAGTATTGTAAATATTTCAGCAATTCTGTTGTAAAGTGCAGGATCTTAGTCCATGGACGTATTCCAAACTCACACAGATAAGTCTGAAAGTGCCCCAAAACTCCACAAAGCCCAGAACTGAGTCTGAATCTGAGCCAGCCTGGCTGTTATGGATTAACCCAAAGGCCAGTGCTTCCAGCAGCAGCAGCAGCAGCAGCAGCAGCAGCAGCAGCAGCAGCAGCAGCAGCAGCAGCAGCAGGGCTGCAGAGCAGTGGCTGCCAGCTGCAGACAGGCTCCAAGACAGGCAGATATGTGCTCCCCAGCAAAGGGGAAATGACTGCTGAGTATTAACCACGAATATTTACAGCTGCTGCTGAACATTAACCGTGAGCACAGGAGCTGATAAACCTGGGTGTGAGCTCCAGATACTCCAGGATTGCTCCACCTRGGCTGGAGCCACCAGGCTCAGCCAGGCTCTCCCAAGGCCATGTCCCCTGTCCCCTGTCCATGGGGGCTGCTCTTGGCAGGCACGTACCACAGTGGCACTGCCCTGCCCTGCCCAGGGAAGTTGGTTTTGTGCCTCCTGTACTCACCAGGCTGTGACCCAACACAGCACTCTGGGGACGGGCACAGGGCACGGCCCCACAGCATCCCTGAGTGCTGTGAGGGGCAGAGGGGATGGCTGGTGCCAGCCTGCCACCATGTCCCCAAAGTGAAAAGGCCTCTGGCAGCAAGGGAGGAGGTTTCATGTGACTTGTCTGCAGAAATCCCTGCAGGCGATTTCTATAAACACGTGTCCACACACAGTGGCAGCAGCAGCGTGTCCCAGTGTCTSCCCAGCACCCTCTGTCCCTTCTCCACACATCCTGGGCCTGCCCTCTGGCAGGGATGACCATCTTTGGATAAATGGTCTTCCCTTCCCTCGCCACCAAGGCCCTGTCAATATTTTACGTATCCAGTGAGAGGCAGCTGCCCAGTTTGGCACAGCTTGGTGCTCCTGAGCTCTGGAGATCCCACGTATCCACCAAAGGGATGGGGGTTTCCATGCTTCAGGAGCCATGAGAGGGAAGCAGGAGGTGGGGAAGGCCAGGCAGCTGCCCTGAGTGCAGTGTCCAGCTCCAGGGCAGAGATGGACCCTCGGCCTGCAGCTCCAACACCTCCCACTCCAGAGGGTGAACAGGGAGGGGTGCGCTTCCAAAAACCTCACTGCTTTCCACTCCTTTCTGCAAGATGGCTCTGCCCTCCACCCTCTGCTCTGCAAGGCTGGGGACACATTTCCAAAGAGTTCATCAGGCATTTCCACCCCAGGGACTGAATGGCTGTGTGGAGAAGCTCGGGATGCCCGTGCTGCTCAGACCATGTGAGAATCGAGCACCCCTGCTCTGCTGAGATCCACAGCCTTGGCTCCTGCAGCTTAATCCAGAGGGAACAAACCCCAAGAGCTTTGAAGAGTGCATGGGGACCCTATGGCACCGGAGGGCTGTCCTGTCCCGGGAAGCTCTGTGGGCACAAGGACATGTGCTCTGAGAAGGTCCATGTCCACCCCTGGCTCCTGCATTTTGGGGCGCAGCCCCCCAGAGCTGGCTTCCCTCCATGTGCTGCCTCACTGGAGATTTTAACTCATTTTGCTGCCCCTGTGGCCCCGGCAGCCTGTGAAGCACAGGGGGATGCTGATGTGCACAGAGGGGCGTGGGGAGAGAGCACAGAGCCACAGACACCGGGACACGCCGGATCCGTCTGCGCTCGGACTAAACCAACACCCCGAGCACGATAAGCATCTCGCTGGCCCTGCCCAGCACCTGGGAGCCTTCCCCGCCTCCCATTTCTCCCAGCAGGGTTTCACCGCGGAGCCGCGGCCGGAGCCACATAAATAGAGGTGCCGGGAGGTTGTGGGGCAGGAGAGGGGACACGTCCCGAGGGTTTGCACCGCATCCCAGCGCCCGTCCCGCCTGCCCGGCCACCCTGCAGGTAACCCGGGAACACGGGGACCTGGCCCGGGGCAGGGCCAGCCTGGATCCCCAGAGTGAGGGGGAGGATGAGCATTTATCCAGAAATAGCGGGAGGAGGATGATGCTGCCGCTGCTGAGTGACAGAGCCGCGGCGGGGTTTGGCTGGAAATTGGCCCCATTGAGGGTGCCCAATTCCACTGCTGGSTGGGGTCGGGTGTTTTGGCGATGGATGGGGCTGATGAGGCTGGGGTGTGAGAAACCTTGGAGTTAATGGTGTTTGGTGGTGATTCCCTGCTCTGTGGGTGGGGGGGCTGAGGCTGGGACAGCCAGGAGGGAGCTCTTGTTTTGGGGAAGGGAGATCCTTTACCCCAGTAGCTTTCCCATGGGGAGCTCGTCTGGGCTCCGTGCTGCTTGGTACAGCCATCAGTCCTTTGGGAATGACAGTAAATAACAGATTAAAATATTTGAATGAAAGGAAGGGGCAGAGCATTGAACTCCAGSAAAGATAAAGTAACTTTAATTTTGATAAACTGAAAGTAACTAAAGTTACTCCAGGTGTAAGTAACTTCAACTAAGCAAGAAAACCTTTAAAACCAGAAAAGCTTCAAAGTCTTTCTTTCTTTTCAAACTGATAATGGATGGAGTCTGTGCTTTTAAGTTTTTTCATTATGGTTATGCAATTTGCAAATTTTTTTTTTTTTTGTTTAAAGAGATGTTAAGAAATAATTGCAAGTAGTTGCACGTCTGCAAGAGAAGGAAATGTGGGATATCAAAATGGTGATATAAATGTAATCAAAAGTGGCATTGGGGCAGTAGAAGAAGAGACCAGACCTGGAAGAGCCCAGTACAGGAATGAAGAAGGAGTATTTAATACAGCAGGACAAAAGGCCAATCAGACAGAGGGAAGGGATTCAAAAGTGCACTTAAAGGAAACACTGGGCCTTGAAAAGATGAAAAAAGAGTCCTCAGCCTTTAAAGAGAGAAAGGATCCAGTATCAGCTGCCAAGTCTGTGCATCCCAGGTGTGAGTGGAGGAGGAGGAGGGAGCAGGCACAGGGAGGGATTTTCATGCCAGCAATGACTCTCTGAAAACAGGCTGGCCAAAAAATTGAGAAGGCAAAGAGCAGAGTCCCACAGGAGTGCCCAACACTGGAAACATCTTCCTTAGGAAGAAAAGCTTTTTCCAGCTGAAATAAAGATGGGGTGACCCCCTTGACTCCCTGTRAGGGACAGAGGTGGCTGGAAAAGGCAGCAGAGAGTGGCACAGCAGGACAGGCTGGGAGCTGACACCCAGCCCTGGTCCCTGCAGCAGCCAGGTCCCATCTGCAGGAGTGGCCACAGGACAAGCCACCACAGCAGACTGTGCTTCTCTGAATGCTTCTTGTGTCCATGCCATTCTGAATGCCTCCCAGGAGCAATTAATTAGTCACCTAAATGTAAATTATTATTGTCAATATCAGGGTGAGCAAGTCCCATTTGTTAACCAAGGCACCCACGGCAAAGCTCAGTGAGTGCTGCAAYGTGGACTTTGCTCACGCAGTGCCCACGCTGCAGCCCCCTGAACACCCRGGGGTGGAGGACATGGTAGGTGAGCCAGGGTGACCTTT